GTGACTAGATATGCTACTCCACTTCTCAGGCGCAAGGATAGTCCCCTCCTCTGGGCATCAAAGAACACATTGCTCCCACAGCTACGTAGTACTGAACGCCGTCTGGCTAAAGGTCCAGCTCTGGCAGATACCTACTGTCAAGAAATCCATAAACTTGAACAGTTAGGTTATGCCAAACCTCTTCCTTCAGCTACAGTAGACAGCTCCCAGGAGTCTTGGTATCTGCCTCACCATGTTGTCCACCATAATGGAAAGGCAAGAAAGGTCTACAAGGTGATGGCCACGCAGTATGACCCACTGGGCTATCTTATCCCATTCACCACTCAAGCCAAGATCCTCATCCAGGACCTGTGGAAAGTGGGAGTCGACTGGGATGAGCAGATTCAACCCAAGGCTCTACTGGAAATATGGACACAATGGGAGAGCGAGCTGGTCTACCTCCCACAAGTGGAAATCCCAAGATGCTATGTTTCAGCAACCTTGGCCCCTGAAGTGCCTAACAGACAAGCGCACATCTTCTGCGATGCCTCCGAAAGAGCTTACGGAGCAGTCGAGTATATTCAAACTCTCTATAACCAGGGCAATGTTCACGTTGCATTTATAATGGCTAGATCTCGTGTTTGCCCTCTAAAACAGCTGTCAATGCCACGCCTTGAATTGTGCGCAGCTCTAGCCGGAGCTCAGCTGGCTAAGGTCACAATGACAGAGTTGTCATTCTCTCCCCAGCAGATAACACTCTGGACCGACTCAGCTACAGTGTTGACATGGCTGAAATCAGACTCAAGTCGATACAAGGTTTTAGTTGGAACGAGGGTCGCTGAAATTCAAGAACTTACCGAAGGGTCAACTTGGCGGTATGTCAGCACCTCTGATAATCCAGCAGATTACCTTACCTGCGGGAAGACACTCCATGAGCTCAGTCAGCCCAACCCGTGGAGTCAGGGTCCAGAATTTCTTCACCAGCCTACTGAAACCTGGCCAGAGCTACAAATGGAAGTAGCTCAGGAAGAAGATGAGGATGAGCTACGCAAGACAGTGTTTTGTGCAGCAGCTACCTGTCCTTCTCATGAAGTGGATGTTACTAACATCGACAACTGGGATGACCTCGTTAGAGCCACTCATATGAGCCTTCACGGGGCGGCCAAAGACCTGGTGAGCCCCACCATGACAGCTGCAGATGTACAAGAAGCTGAACTACATCTCCTACGACAATCCCAAAGTGAGACCTTTCAGGAAGAGGTGAAACTCCTTGCCGTGGGGAAGCCCATCTCCAAACAAAGCCGCCTAATCATGCTTGCTCCTGAGTATGATATAGCTGTCGGGCTGATAAGAGTGGGAGGCAGGCTGCGAAGAGCAGATCTGGATCTAGATACCATGCATCCAATTATCCTTTACCCGAAACATCATGTTACCAGGCTCCTCATCAAGAAATATGACAAACAGCTCCTGCATCCGGGCCCCGAGCGTGTATTCGCTGAAATTCGGAGAAGATACTGGATCCTACGTGGAAGAGAATCTATCAAACGGCATCAGTACAGCTGTGTGGAATGTCAAAAGTGGCGTGCTAGTCCTGTAGTCCCACAAATGGCAGACCTCCCCCCAGCAAGACTTCGTCTATACAAGCCACCTTTCTGGTCTACTGGAGTGGACTGCTTCAGCCCTTACAATATCAAGGTGGGTCGACGCATGGAGAAGCGATGGGGGATCATCTTTAAATGCACGACAATGAGTTGTGTGCACCTCGACCTGCTGGAGAGCATCGACACTGATGCTTTTCTTATGGGATTACGTCGCTTCATCGTTCGCCGTGGCAAACCCTTTGAAATCCTAGCAGACAGAGGGACCAATTTCCGAGGTAGAGGGACTGAACTACAGACCAGCATCCAAACTTTAGAGGATTGTCAAGACATGTCCAGGCTCAGACGGTCGAGTCAGGGCAGCTGAAGTGAGGATAAAGGGACAGACTTATCTTCGACCAGTTGTGCGCCTGGTGCGACTGCCAGCTTGGGAAGATGAAGATGACTCTGGCTAAACACCTGATAAGACTTTCCTCTAGTTTTCGAATTTATAACTAAATTCGGGGGCGGCTTTGTCAGAAAGGCTTATAGTTATGGCTATAGTTATGGCAGTTCTAGAAGATCCATGTGTAAAGTTACCCCAGTCTTATTTTGGTGGTCCAGTTTGTGACATCACTTCCTCTAGATAGTCACTTCCTGTAAAGCCGTTTCTACCATTTTGTCCAAGCTGTTGGTGATGGCAGACAGCCTCGTGTGCGTTCATGACTGACATACCACACGGAACCACAGAAATGTACAGATGTCCATACTTCAACTGTCATTAAATACGTAAAACTGTCTCTCCGTGCCCTGCTCTCTGACCGGAGCCCTTATCTTGAAGATACTGTCAGATCAGCAAATAACTTCCAGAGTTCCCACTCTATCACAGCAATAGAGATAAGGAGACGTGGATGTGGGACCATGAACAGGGACGACGGAGTTTACACGCTGGACCACGCATGGGACTGCATCGTCAGAGAGGGGAGAGCGGGCAGTAGAGGGCGACAACGTCCTCTGCTGCCCGCAGATAAACGGAGAAGGAAGTGACGCGCCACCATCAGCGTCAGCCTGAAGAAGCCGGCAGCCGTCGGCGAAACTGTAGCTACAAAACAGGTAAACAAAACTGTTTCTGTGTTTAAAAAGAACGAAAGCATGGGTGATTTAAGCTATTTTGAGCGTGGCGTGGTTGTTGGTGCCAGGCGGGCCGGTCTGACTATTTCACAATCTGCTCAGTTACTGGGATTTTCACCCACAACCATTTCTAGGATTTACAAAGAATGGTATGAAAAGGGAAAAACATCCAGTATGCGGCAGTCCTGTGGGCGAAAATGCCTTGCTGATGCTAGAGGTCAGAGGAGAATGCGCCGACTGATTCAAGCTGATAGAAGAGCCTAACCCTCGTTACCACCGAGGAATGCAGCAAAGCATCTGTGAAGCCACAACATGCACAACCTTGAGGTGGTTGGGCTACAACAGCAGAAGACCCCACCGGGTACCACTCATCTCCACTACAATTAGGAAAAAGAGGCCACAGTTTGCACCAGCTCACCAAAACTGGACAGTTGAAGACTGGAAAAATGTTGCCTGGTCTGAGGAGTCTCGATTTCATTTGAGACATTCAAATGGTGGAGTCAGAATTTGGCATAAACAGAATGAAAACATGGATCCATCGTGCCTTGTTACCACTGTGTAGGCTGGTGGTGGTGGTGTCATGGTGTGGGGGACGTTTACTTGACACACTTTAGGCCCCTTAGTGCCAACTGGGCACCTGAGCATTGTTTCTGACCATGTCTATCCCTTCATGACAACCATGTACCCATCCTATGATGGCTACTTCCAGCAGGATAATGCACCATGTCATGAAGCTCCAATCATTTCTAACTGGTTTCTTGAACATGACGATGAGTTCACTGTACTACAACGGCCTCCACAGTTACCAGATCTCAACCCGATAGAGCATCTTTGGGATGTGGTGGAACGGGAGCTTCGTGCCCTGGATGTGCGTCCCACACATCTCCCAACTGGAAGATGCTATCCTGTCAATATGGCCGACATTTCTAAAGAATGCTTTCAGCACCTTGTTGGATCAATGAATTAAGGCAGTTCTGAAGGTGTAAGTGGGTCAAACACCGTATTAGTGTGGTGTTCCTAATAATCCTTTAGGTGAGTGTGTATTTATTCAAATAAAGGTCTTAAATAAAATACTTTATCTTCTTCTCTAAAGTTAATTACCGTAATTTCCGGACTATAGAGCGCACCTCAATATAAGCCCCACCGGGCTAAAAGCCGCTGATCTCTACTGAATTGAAAACGTAGTTTAACTGAACGTAACTGAACCGATCAGTATGAAACAAAACAGAAAAGTTATCGATTAGTTTATTCATCTTCCTCTTGTGCAATGAAACCATTAAAGTCCTCTTCTTCAGTGTCGGAGTTGAACAGCCTCAGAAGAGCTTCATCACATATTTCTGTGGCGATGTCGGTGTCGCTGTCCGTGTTGCTGTCATCATCCCTGGGTGAAGATGGCTTGAATGAGTTCTTCCCGCTGCCGTCTCCAGCGCCGAACCATGGATTCATTCATGCCAAGCTTACGTGCGGCAGCACTGTTTCTCTCCTTTACTGCCAGATCGATGGCCTTCAACTTAAATGCGGCATCATATGAACTCATACGTGTAGTTACCATGATGAGGGGGTATGGATTTGAAAAAGATTCTTCGTCGTGCCGGCTGTTTGCATGTGCTAAACTAAAATGAGCACTTTCTTCGATTTCCACTTTTGACTTCCACCTGTTTCACTTCCTGCTAAAGCGCCCCCTGGTGGCAGGTGAAGGAAAACCTTCAGTAAAGCCACACCTCATTATAACCCACGTGGTTCAAAGCGTGGGGAAAAAAAGTAGCGGCTTGTAGTCCAGAAAATACGGTAAACTTTTTCTCCCGTCATCAGGTCACCCTAAAACTAGAGCTTTTATCACTCATGGAGGTGCAAACGGGGTTTATGAGACCATCTATCACGGCGTTCCCATGGTGGGAATTCCAGTTTTTGCTGACCAGCCAGACAACATGCTGCACATGAAAGCCAAATGAGATGCAGTTGTTGTGGAATTAAACTCACTGACATCTGAAGACCTCAGAGATGCGATCAACACCGTCATCGATGACACAACGTCAGATTTTTTAAATTCCTGCACCAAGTCTGTTTTAAAGATTAAAAAAAAATTGTTTCGTTTTTGGTGATGAGTCAGCATTAACTTTATTACCAGAATAAATATTTCCCTTCAATTTCCTGTTTTCATGGTACATTTTTACTGTATGGCCCGAAAGAGTAACCTAGCTTAAATGTACAAAACTACAAATGTGCCTTTCATTATTCCCAGTTTGTGAGATAAAAGTTAATCTCTGACAATACATTATGAATAACTCTTTATGTTAACTTGTTTATCCACAGCTACAAAGAAAGTGCCATGAGACTGTCCAGAATCCACCACGACAGACCCATGAGTCCTCTGGACGAGGCGGTTTTCTGGATCGAGTTCACCATGAGGCACAAAGGAGCAAAGCACCTGAGGGTCCAGGCCCACGAGCTCACCTGGTAGCAGTATCACAGCCTGCATGTCCTGAGCTTCCTGCTCTCTGTGGTTCTGCTGCTCCTGTTCCTCCACGACAAGACCTGCAGGTTCTGTTTCCGGAGGTGCTGCTGCAGAAGGAAGACCAAGAGGAAGGCTGAATAACAAACTCAGCTCAGGTTTATTCAAGTTAAATATTGAATAGAAAGGCTGATTTAATATAGATTTTAATCGGTCTTTTGACCACTGACCTCTTGTGTAAAAATAGGGAAGTAAGAAACTGTTTAAAAAACGGCAAAAACAAAAGTGTTTTGATGTATTTTTTATCTTCTGTGTGATCAAATAGGGTTTTGGGTTTTTATTATTACAAAAAAGGAAAAGGAAAAACATCAGTGTCCAATGTTTTCACTTCTGAATAAATGGTTTGTACTTCACAATTTTTTGTTAAATTCTGACCATTTAGTTTTTGCTCTAGTTTCAGTAACTTCTGTCAAAATGTTTAGAAAAAATATCAAACAGCCGGGATTAAACCCGCAACCTTCTGATTACTGAACTACCCGCTCTCCCTCGGGAGCGACTGCTGTCCAAATGACTAGTTATAAATGACCTGCACTTGTGAAGGGTTTTCAGGTCGGTGTGTGGAGGGAATTTGGGGTCAAATGTCATGCTGCACCTGAGAAGTGATATTAGTGGATTTATTTATGGTTTTATTAGTAATGTTTTTTCATGTCTTCATGTTTCATTTAAATGTTGTTCGGAGGGACCGGCGTCGCCTGCGTATGGCAGACTCGCCTCTGTCAGGACGCCCCAGGGCAGCTGTGGCTACAGTGTAGCTCATCACCACCGGGGTGTGAATGGGTGAATGTGTTGTAAAGTGCCTTGGGGGGTTCCAGGACTCTAGAAGGCACTATACCAAATACAGACTATTTACCATAAATGAACAATAACGTTTTATCTCAGCTTGTTGATTATTGTGTAACAGAGATCTCACAACCACAAATTACTGTTTCACCAAAATAAATACCAACAAATCTAATATTTTATTTCTATATTTAAAAAAAAAAAAGAAAACTGCAGAAAGTCATAAAAAGAGAGTTAAAGTTAAACGTGACGTTTGGGAATCATTGCAGAATTCAAACAGTACAGAGTATGAAACACTGCTATCCAGAAATAAGCCTGAACAAGTACAACACATTTAGTTCTAGGTTTTATTTCCCATAAACCTGCAGGGATAGAAACACAAATAAGTGAAAGAAAATCAAAAGGATATGCACTCTGAGTTCAAACATTTGAGCTTTTAAACAGCTTTGATGTTTTGTACTTTAGTACTGAAACGAGTCAGAGTTCACAGTTAATAAGTATCCGTACGGCACATCCAGTATAAAGTTCACAGCTGGATTTCCCACAGACAGACAGACGTCCACCATGGAGCTGCGCGTGCGTCTCTGCCTGCATCCTGCTGCTACTTCCTGTAACATCTGGAGTAGATGGAGGGAAGATTTTGGTTTGGTACACCGAGGCCAGCCACTGGATTAACAGGAAGCTGCTGCTGGAGACGCTGGTGGACAGAGGACACCAGGTGACCGTCCTGGTCCCGAGCACATCCATGTTCATCCACAGCAGTGAACCCTCCCGCTTTAATTACCAGCCTTTTGATGTCTCCGTCTCTAAAGAAGATTTTGAGAATTTATTGGCTGAATTCATTCAATTCAACATGTATGACATGGACCACATGAACTACTTTCAGCTTTACATCAAATACATGGAATTGTTCAAGATCAACACTGAGATTTCCCTCCAGTTTTTGGACGGTGGTGAAATCAGAGCCCATCATGAAGAAGCTGAGGAAGGGAAACTATGACGTTCTCCTGGCTGATCCCATCTATTCTGGAAGCAATTTAACTGCTGAGATCTTGGGCATCCCTCTAGTCTTTTCTTTGAGATTTTCGATAGCAAACAACTGGGAGAGACTGTGTGCTCAGCTACCTGCTCCACCTTCCTACGTTCCAGTTGCGGTCAGCAGACTGACAGACAAGATGAACTTCTCAGAGAGAATGTGGAACTTCCTCTTCTACGTCCTGCAGGACTTAGTTCTGGATCAGTGTGTGTGGAAGAAGGTGAGTATTGCTGACTAGAACATTACGTAATGGATTTCATCGTCATCACGAACATGTTTGTTTTCTCAGGAACACCCACCAGTGCCTGTAAGATGATGGGTAATGCTGACATCTGGTTGTTGAGAACCTACTGGGATTTTGACTTTCCCCGTCCATTACTTCCCAACTTCAAATTTGTTGGAGGGATTCACTGCAAACCTGCTAAACCATTACCAAAGGTGCTCTTTCCATAACTGTACACCAAAAAAATCTTAGTTAACCCTCTCAGGCTCAAAACAAGTTTTGATAAAAGGGCAAACAACTAAATCCTTCTTCTGAGTGTAAAAATGCTCATGAAATACGTACGTGGAGTATCCAGGTAGGTAGGTTTTAACGTTGCACATCAGCAACGCCTACTTCCAGAGGGTTAAATCCTAATGTAAAGAATAAGATCTGGAAAAAAAAGATCTACAAAATAGACATCTTATTAGCTGTTTTATTGAATAAAAAAGCAGATTTTGATTTTAAAAAATACAATTTTCTGCTTTAAAGAATTAAAAATCTCTGTTCCTGCAGTATTTCGAAAAGTTTGTCCAAAGCTCTGGAGATGATGGCATCGTGGTCTTTTCTTTGGGATCTATTGTCAAGAATCTGAACATACAAGGCAAACATGATCGCCTCTGCTCTCGCTCAAGTCCCACAAAAGGTCAGAAACGGGGGAATCTACAGGGGGGCTCTGCTGTAGAGCCTTACCCCCGTGGGTTAATTAGATTTTTTGGGTTGCGCCACTTTGACAATGTGCCGTGCGCAGGACGCAGTTGCCTGGAGCGCATCAAAGATCAGCGCTGTTCCTCCTCTCTGCTCAAGAATGCCCCAAGAGTTCAAACAGATCCACAGCCCTGGGCGTGGACGTTGAGGGCTTCGTAATTCTAGCTCTGCTCGACATTTTCTTCAACGTGACAAAGCCCCCCCCCCCCCCCCCCCCCCCCCCCCCTTTCTCATTTACGTTGTTTTTGACAAAAACAGCTCTGCTGCTCCAAAATGATGCATTTTAAACATTGGTGTTGTGTTATTGTAATATGTTATAATTGAGATAAATAATAAAATATGACAAAAAATTCAAAATGTGGGACAAAAGGACTTATAAGCCAACATTTAGAAAAAAAAGACATTTTTCACATTTTCTGAAAGAAATACGTTGGTTCAGGTTAAAGTTCATTTTTATTACATATAAAGTTAAAGAAAGGGGCGTTCAGGTGCTGCTGTTGATGTTAACACTGGAGCGTCGATGGTCCAGACTGAGATAAATGCGTTAAAGTTAGGCTCCGCCCATTTGGGTTACTATGACCACCAGTGCCTCCTACTACTACTTCTTTCACCCCGCCCACGTGATCCTTTGAAGTGATGTCATAAAGGCTCAGAGTCCTATTATCTAGCATCAGCCGGCTCCCACTTCATTAGCAGCCGACTGCTGGTGTGTGACACATCGACTCTCTGAGACAATCGTCTTTTACAACCTCAAACCTTTTTTCTGAGTTTGATAAAAGACCAAGAGCCTCTAGAATCATGTCTATTCTACATTTTTCATCTGAGGAGCTTCAGCGGGAATTATCTGGGTGTAAACACCCCAAAATTTATTTTTCCCATATGGCGCTCTTGGAGAAAGTCCAGTCTCAGCTTTTAATCACGGAGAAATGGTTAAGTGATGAAAAGCAGCAAACGTTACAAGCAGAGACTGAATTGGAAAAATACAACGACATAATTACCGTCCTGGAACAAGAACTGGACGTTTATCAAGACAACGCAGAGACCTGCAAGGTCACCCTGCAGGCTTTAGAGACCAAACTGAAGAAGAAAGCAACTGTGTGTGAAAATCTGCAAAATCTTTTAAAGCAGGAATCCCAGCTGAGACGTAGATTTGAACAGGGGAAGATAAACGACCAGATTAGGAACGAAGTTGATCAGAAACTAAGAGAAGAAATTAGTGAACTGAAAGAGCGTCTGGATTACTACCAGCTTAACGCTGAGACCTGCAAAACTACAATTCAGGCTTTGAAAATTAAGTTGGAGGAAAAACTAAATGTTTCTGAAAGTTTGCAAAACCAGTTAGGACTGGAGTCAGAGCTGAGACTGCAGCTGGAAGAGGAGAAACAGAATAAAGACTCGCTCACCGAGGCTTTACATGAACAAATCAGAGATTTAGAGATTATAAACGGTGTTCTGGTAGACGAGATGAAAAGTATCTTCTCTGAGACGAACGAGGCAGAGGAGACGCTTTCTGAGGAGGACGGAGAAAAGGCTTCTCTCTGCGGGGAATGTGAACCCAGTTCAGAGGACGAAACTCAGCTGGGACCCAGTCTCAGATTAGCTGAGCCAGTCCAGCAGGAGTCGTCTGGATGTCGGCATCCGACTTTCGATTCCCTTTTCCAGACAGTCGGCTCGGAACACCTACGGCTGTCTCGCCTGGACACAAGTCTCAGTGACCAAGCTGAAATAAGCTCAAAGCTAGAGAGCGAGTGCAAAAAATCCAGAACTCTGATTGATGAACTCAAACAGAAACTGGATTATTACCGAGGTGAGGCAGAGTCCTGCAACAAAATGATGCAGGAGGTAAACTTACAGCTGAAGGAGAAAGATAATCTGCTGGAAAACCTCCAAAAGCAACTCAGACGGGAATCTGAGCTGCTGAGATCCAAGTTTGATCAGCAGCAGAAAATCCAGCGGAACAAAGACAACGTTTATGAGAAATTAAAGGTAGAAATGAGTGAACTAGAAGAGGGACTTGATTACTACCAGAGTAATGCAGAGACCTTCAAAATTACAATTCAGACTCTCAAAACTCAGCTGGAGGAACGAGAACATCTGATTGAAGACCAGCAACAGCGTTTAAAACAGGAGTCAGAGCTGAAAGTCCGGCTGGGACAGGAGATTCAGAACAAGGACTCGTTCAACGAGGACTTAGAGACACAAATTAGAGACCTGGAGAAAATCAACCATGATCTCTCAGAACAACTGGAGACCTTTAACTCCGGGAAGAACACGCCTGAGCCAGACGAGAAGCTGTCTGAGGAGCTGGAAGCCTTCACGTACCAGCTGGTAGAGGAAGCTTCTCTGTGTGAACCTCAGGAACAAACTTCTGAGAGTCTGGAGCCTGACGAGGATTACGAGATGGGACATGATGTTTGCTCTCCACCTGCAGAACAGATAGATTCAGTGGAAGCAAGCGGAAGTCTTCATGAAAACGAGCCTTCTCCCAAAGACAGCGTTCCACAAACAGTCAGGAACCAGAATGTTTCATTGTGGAGGCGCTTCAAGAAGTTTCTCACTCCGGCGTGTCTACGGAAACATAAAGTTAGGCCTTAAATTAGCATCTGACCCCCAAAACACTCGGGCTTCATGATGATGTCA